TGAGTGCCACCGGCGGCACAACCGGAGTGCGGCTCAGCCTGCCAAAGACGACGGTACCTTTTCCTTAATTTATTGATTGACGCCAGAGACAGAGGGCAAGGGAGTGAGAGAGAGAGAAACATCAGTTATGGGAGAGAATCATGGCCCGGCTGCCTCCCACACACCCCACACTGGGGATGGAGCCCACAACCCGGGCCTGTGCCCCAGCCAGGAATCGAACCCTGACCTCCTGGTTCATTGGTCAATGCTCAACCACTGAGCTGCTGTGACCAGGCAGGATTTATTTTTTAATTCCAATTTATTGTTAAAAGTAGTATCGACGTCCCTTTCTCCCCCTTAAAAAATATAAATACATAAATAAAAAGAAATATTTGTCTAAACCTCCCCCAATTTTTTTTTCCATTTTTATTTCATGTCCTCGTCCCGGTTCCTCAAACCACGCATCCTCATGTACAGAACGGCCCCGATCAGAGCGTCCGGGGGCGCGACGCGTCACTTCTGCGCGGTGCTCTTGTCGTGCCTCCGGATGATGTCCATGAGGTTGGCGCCCGTGACCAGCGGGTTCGGGGCCTGCCGGTCCCCCTGCTGCTCCCGCCGCTGCTGGTCGCGCAGGTACGGGGAGTTGAGCAGCTGCGGCGGCAGGAGGGAGCCCGTGGGCTTCACCCTCTTGGCCACGTCCCAGAAGAGCTGCTTGGAGTTGTCGTTGATGAAGGTGATGGCCGTGCCCTTCTGGCCGAGCCTCCCCACGCGGCCGACCTGGAGCGGGAGGCAGGGGGGTTTCAGGATGGTCCCCGTGACACCCCAACGCCCCGAGGAAGGAGCGGAGGACCCGGGTGTTGAAGACGCTTGCCCGGGACGAACGGTCGTTTCAAGAGCAGCTGCTGGAATTGGTCCCTCGTTCTCTTGGTGAAATCGCTCTAGTGGCTGCCACTGGCATATTGTTTAAGAAACAGCCCAGCCCTGGCTGGTGTGGCTCAGTGGATAGAGGGTCGGCCTGTGGACGGAAGGGTCCCGGGTTCGGAGATTCCCGGTCAGGGCACAGGCCCGGGTTGTGGGCTCGATCCCCAGAATGGGGCGTGCAGGAGGCAGCCGATCCATGATTCTCTCTCATCATGGATGTTTCTCTTCCTCCCTCCCTCTCCCTTCCTCTTTGAAATCAATAAAAATATATTTAAAAGAAACAGCCCAAACACCTCTGTGTATATGCACACATGTGCACACCTATGTACACGCATGTTCATGTGCATTTCTGCACCGTGAACTCAGGTGACCACTCCAAGGTGAGGGCTTACTTTGCATGTACATCTCTTGTCATTCGTGTTCCTTGTCCCTGTGTGCACATGTGCTCCAAGGACGGAGACAGACAGACGAGCGCAGTCTGAGCCACCCTGACGGCGGGCGGCCATCGCGGTGTGACTGCGCGCTGCTCCGTGAGTAATGAACGTGGAGGGTCAACTTGGGACCAGAGGAAAGGTTCGGGCGTTCGAGCGGCACCCTCTGCTCAGGACGCAGAGCAGCTTCTTCCCTATTTTATTTCATTTTCTTAAATATATTTTATTATTGATCTCAGAGAGGAAGGGAGAGAGAATCACTGATCGGCCGCCTCCTGCACGCCCCACACTGGGGATGGAGCCTGCAACCCGGTCCTGTGCCCTGAGCGGGAATCGAACCGTGACCTCCTGGTTCAGAGGTCGGCGCTCAACCACTGAGACACGCCTGCTGGCGCCTCTTACGTATTTTAAAATGTTAGAAAGATCCCCACACAACACCACTCCAAGTCTAGAAGGAAATGAACCTCGGTTATTTGAAAACGGCCTCCTGGGCCATCGTCGGCTCTCTGACAAGCAGGGGGAGGCGGGGGGTGGGGGTGCTGCCGTGTCATTGAGCCGGAGCACCAGGCAGAGGACCCCGTCCCGGCCTGCAGCCTCCTGGGCGCCCGGGGGAAGGTGGCCCCCAGGGGCCTCTGCGAGCACCGGAGAAAGGCCGCCTTGCAGGGCCGGTAAGTGACTCCGGAGAAGGAAGCCAGCAGCGCCGGGGAGATAACGGCTCAGAGGAGGCTCTGTGTCCGGCCGAAAGGAGAGCTGCGGGCGGCGTCTCTGGCAGCAAAGGGGAGAGACGCCCCTGAAAAGGGAAAGGCTAGAGCCACACGGATGTGAAAAGGAGATGAAGACAAGATTCCTCAAAAACAGACGCTGTGGGGCTCCTTGTATTCCGGCCAGATGTCCCCACGTAACACAAAGCCTCCCTACCCCTTGTTTTTTCTGGTTCTAAAAGCCATTGAACCTGCTCACTGAAGAGAAGAAATATAAAGGAGCCCTGGCCGGTGGGGCTCAGTGGGTAGAGCAACGGCCTGCGGACTGAAGGGTCCCAGGTTCCATTCCGGTCAAGGGCACATGCCCGGGTTGCGGGCTCGATCCCCAGTGTCGGGCGTGCAGGAGGCGGCCGGTCCGTGCTTCTCTCTCATCACCGATGTTTCTGTCTCTCTCTCCCTCTCTCAAATTAATAAAAATATATTACAATTTTAAAAAGGGATACAAAGGAAATAAAAAAATATATAAAAAACAGTTAGAAATGTAAATGGCATGGTAGGTCATCGTTTCTAATTACTAGGTAAGGCCCAGAGCCTTTAAAACCAAGATTTCGTTTATAGGCGTTACATCTTAAAAGCAAAAAAATAAAAATCAAGGTTCCTGTCCCTCACGGGACCTTTTTCTCTTACTCGTCGTTACACTGACAAGGGCTGTGCCCGAGGAAAGTCACGCGGTCCCACGGAAACCCCCTTACCTGGTGCACGTACTCGTCCATGCTCGAGGGCATGTCGAAGTTCACGACCAGCCGGACGCTGACCAGGTCCAGCCCTCGTCCCAGGACGCCCGTGCTCACCACCACCTCGTGGACTCCGTCGAGCAAGCCCTTCCAGGGAAGCGAGAAAACGCGCTGTCAGAGCAGCCGTCGCCAGCCGGTGGGCTGTGGACCGCTTTAGGGTTGGGGTCAGGGTGAGGGGGACACTGGTGGCCCGTGAGGTCCGAAAGGTTGGCGACACCTGAGAACCGTGTCTCGGGGTTTCATAGACTTGAGATCCTTTCCTTTTCCTGATACTTTCTGCAACATTTTTGCAGTATCTTTTCGGGAAGGAAACTTAGTGAACCGGGGGAAGTGGGGTCCCAGCTGGCTACCAGCAGGTTCCTCCCAGGCCCCCCTCTGCCCCCCCAGCCCCCCGGGGTGTTTTCTATTCCTTTCCTCAGGCAGACCTTTCCCAGAGGTGACCTAGGCTCTGCCCCAGCCACACTGGCCTGATGACAGAAACAGTGGCTTCTGAATTAGTCACCTCGTTAGCAGACGATCCCTGGGGACCAGGCTGACCTGCTCCCCAAACACAAATGCTGGCAGGAGGGACAGTCAGCTTCGGTCACTGCCTGCCTGGAGTTCTTAGTCATTAAAAAAAAAAAAAAAAAAGGGGGTCCCACCCTGGCCGTTTGGGCTCAATGGATGGAGCGTCGTCCTCGGGACTAAACGGTCCCGAGTTTGATTCCGGTCAGGGGCACAGGCCCGCGTTGTGGGCTCGATCCCCAGTAGGGGGTGTGCAGGGGGCAGCCGATCCATGATTCTCTCTCATCATTGCATGTTTCTACCTATAAATTCTCCCTTCCTCTCTGAAATCAATAAAAATACATATTTTTAAATAAAGGGGTCTGCATTAAACACCGGCTGGTTCTTCCAGTGTCCCTTGAAAATGAGGCAACACGGGTTTCGGGACGGAGATGAGCCGGGGGGCCGCGCGTCGCACCTCCAGGATGCTCCTCCGCTCCGCCTGCGGCTTCTCCGAATGCATGGACACGCTCCGCAGGCCCGTGACCTTCTGCACGGCCTCGCTCAGCAGGTCCGCCCCAAGCCTGCAGTCCACAAACACCAGCACGGGCGGCTGGAAGAGTTTCTTATCCTGGGAGGGTGGGGGGAGAACGAGCATTCAGGTTACTCGGGAACACCCGCCACGGGCAGTCCTCCTGCAATACCGGTCCCCGCTGGTTCCGGGCAGGTTCGTCCGCACCGTGAAGGAGGGACAGGGCACACTCTGTCGACATGAGTGTTTTTTCTTTAAAATATGCACACACAGAAGCCAGAACAGCCTACGGCCCTTCTGCGCACAAATGACTTTTAAAAGTTAAGCGTGATGAGCGTGGCTGGTGTGGCTCAGTGGTCGAGCGTTGACCTCTGAACCGGGAGACGGGGGTTCGATTCCCGGTCAGCACGCCCGGGTTGTACACGTGACCCCCAGAGGGGGGCGTGCAGGAGGCAGCCGACCCCTGATTCTCTCTCATCGTGGATGTTTCCTTCTCTCTCTTTCTCTATCTCCTTTCCTCTGACATCAATAAAAATATATATTTTTAAAAAATTTCATGGATTCGCCCTGACCAGTGTGGCTCAGTGGCTAGAGCGTCGGCCTGTGGACTGAAGGGTCCCAGGTTCGATTCCGGTCAAGGGCATGTACCTTGGTTGCGGGCACATTCCCAGTGGGGGGTGTGCAGGAGGCAGCTGATCGATGTTTCTAACTCTTTTCCTCTCCCTTCCTCCCTGTAAAAACAAATCAATAAAATAAAAAATCATGGATTCTTACAGGATTCTGAGACAGGCAAAGCAATGTGTTAGGAGAAAACTTTTCCCCAAAGTATATAATGTGCAGATAGCCTATGTGTTCATTTCTTCCTGTATAACACTTTAAGACAAGATGAGCTACTGTCGTGGGGGACGTGTTCCAGGATGTCCAGCACCTGCTGCTGGAAGCCCATCTTCAACATGGTGTCGGCCTGAAACAGCGTCGTTTTATTTTATTATTTTATATATCATTTCTTATCAATTTCAGAGAGGAAGGGAGAGAGGGAGAGAGGGACCGGGACGGGCTCCCCGGCGTGGCTGCTCACGTTGAGGATCTCGAACAGCTTCTTCTTCTTGGCGGGCTCCTCCACCCACAGCACGATCTGCCGCACGTGGGGGCAGGGCCGGTTCCGCTCCCCGGCCATGATCC